TTATTATTATTATTATTATTATTATTATTATTATTATTATTATTATTATTATTATTATTATTAATATTATTATTAACATCTTTTATTTCAGTCACGCGTAAATTCTTTATCTTTTGATATCTAGCGAAATTCCCATGTCGTGTAAAAACAATCACGCTTTCAATTCAATATTTTCAATACTAAAATTGAGATATCTTTTTCTACTTAATTAATATGATCCTTATTAGTTAATAGTCTAAAAATCATGGAAAAGTTATTACTTTTATTCTAACATTTATGACTTTCCAGCTTTTTGATCTTTCCGTTTGCTGACTGAACACGTGTTGCATAAGTCTTCGAAGTTCTCGAATAAACATCATTCAAATGGGGCTGCCGGGCTATACGGATCGTTCTCTGCTTAGTATACCTTCGGAACAGTTAGTATATTCTCCATCATCATCAATCATCATCAGACCGAACGACGATACTCATTGGCGGTTGACAGGGATTGATCCGAAAGGAAAGTTCGTAATAGAAACTGGCTGGCTGCGAGTGCATTAATACAAAGAAGAAAACCGAATTGATGTAAACCGAGGGATGATTTAATTTCTGTTTTTTTTTTTGTTTTTTTATTTTTTTTTTTAGAGGTTTAACTTTCGCATTTAGCCCTTCTGTCGTTTGCGGTCTAACTTATTTTCACCGTTTTGTTCAAAACCGATCACTACCATTGTGACAAAATTTTTTAACGTCGTATATCCTAATTGCAATATTTCTATAAATTTGTCAAACGCTGCACAAAATTTAGAAATAAAGAATTATTTTTTTGCACGCAACGGTCCGCGAAATAAAAGAGCCTCGCTTTAAAGTGAGCCAAACTTGGCGAATATAAATTCTTCATTTTAATATTTTCAATCCACCACTATACATATATTGCGCAACCATTGTCCACTTCGTGCCGCTGCAATGTCCCAATTGAGAATAAAAAAAACTACGTTCTGCCGTGACCCCAAAAAGACAAACGTCTGCCAATCATCGCGTATCCCCCTTTTGACTCTCGCGCGCGTGCAATCTGATAAATTTAATTGGATGAACCTGCGTGCGGCGCGAGGGTAAATCCACGGTGAACACGCGGGGTGGATTGCGAGTAGGGGTTTGAAATGCGGACGGCTATCGAATTATCAAACAAATCTGCCCAGAACAACCCCGCTGACATCGTAACTCGTTGAGCTTGACCGTTTCACATAAACAACGCCCTTCCCCAAAAGGTTGCGGTATCCTCTTTCAAATCTCAACGCACACACATGACAATACGCTCTCAACACTCTTGCGAATAATTTTCACCCGCGCGCTATCACCTGACATATTCGAAACTTCCACTTTACATTGAAGAGAACTACAATGTGCATAAAATACAGCATGAAATAAATTGCAAGTTTGCTCGACATTTCATGCGTAGTGTTTAATATTTAATTTACGAAATTGAAAATTGAGTGATAATTGTTATATATTTTATTATGTTCTATATATCACACGGATTGTTGTTCCAAACATAAGATAGGTATACGCACGAATATATCATTAAATAGTACGAGAGCATACCCCAATGAGATTTATAAGTCGAAAGTTAATATTGATGCAGTTTATATGAACATCTTCGCCTGGTTTGCTCGAGAATCGAGAGTAAATATTAGTTTGGTTCCATCACTACTTCTCCCTCCCATTCCTCTTCTAGGGCGATAACGCCCGTATACATACCCACTCTACTGGCGTTATACAAATGACCAACACTCTACCCCTTTATGCCTCCGCCGCAGTAAAGCCCTGCCACAGATTCAGATAACTCCAGATTAATTGACAAAAAGCCACCGTCGCAAATAAGGATGATGTACATTACACGAAAATCGTCTCGCGTCGTCATTATCGCGATCTCTACCACTTCCGATGGTTCTTCCGGTACGGAGAAATCGGAAAGAGGAATATTAAAATTAACTTTCAACTTTTTATCGTTTTAATCGTTTAGAAAACATATTTACATTACAATTAGATACAAATACATATTAACGTTACACCATAAAAACTAAATAATAATGTACACGTATTATTCTTTTTTTTTTAACGTAAAGTATATAATCCGAAATCTCTTTCCTTTCTTTGCATGTGTCATATGCAATATTAAATAAGGGAACTCCAGAGCAAACGCATGAATCGTATCAACACACTCGTGGAACAATTTCCACTCTAGTTTTCCTCAGGCAAATACGTTAGAGTATTTTCACGTCTGATTACAACCGTCCGTTTCCACTCGTCGTGCGAGCTATCACAGGCGCCACCTCTGCAAATGTCCTCGCAACCCCTGTACTACTTCTGCCCGCTTTTTTATCCCGAGGGCTTTTTTTCGCGCTTACACAGATTTCGTAATATTATAAACTCCATGCGACGTAAATGTGCCGTAAACTATAAAGATTGTAGCTTTCCTCCATCATCATTGTTGTGCCCGGGATATTTTTCTTAGTGAAATGTCAGAGGGCATGTGCCTTTTCTTAAAAGATCGCGCGAGAACTAAATCGCCCGCGTGTATACGATCTGAGTTTTTATCACCACTAAAAACGTCCGGTCACGCCAGACGAATTATATCACACCCGATAGCCATAAATTCTAACGGGGCGCATCGTCGCGTTAATAATTAAACGCGTTCCGCGCTTTTTATGCGAGCCGCCGTATTTATGAATTTTATTCCGGTTGCACTGTATT